TGTTTTAATAATGTACAAATTGACGGTTTCTTATGAATATCTGTAAGAAAAAAATACGTTGTCAGATTACCAAAACAAAAACTAATAACGTATTAGTTTCAAAACGGAATCGATCATAAATATTATAGGTATAGGTAATATATTAATTATATGAATCTAGATGTAAACATTATTAATAAATATGACTAATTAGGGATTATTACTATATCATAGTAATGCCCCCGTGGATAACATGAAATTTCATTTTGATAAAAAAAAAATAATAAATAAATAAAATATTAATTTATATGACTAAGAAATTGGCTTTTTTTGTACGAAGTTTTATAGGGAAAAAATTTCATTAGATTACTTTAAAAAGACTAATTACATAGAATATTTATTCTTTTGAAATCGTTCACTAATTATAAATATACAGACGCTGAAAATAACATAGATTATATTTTAATTAAATAAATAAATTGACGTTTCTTTATGAAATTCTGTAAGAAACAAATACGTCGTTAGATCACCAAAAAACAAAAAACTAAAGACGTATAAGTTCAAAACGGAATCGATCACAAAATATATTATATGATATTAATTAGGTATACGAATGTAGATGTAAAAATTATTACTAAATATTACTAATTAGTAACTTCAAGTATTGTAATAAGTACCTAGTACCTACTTAAATAAATAAATAACAAATTGTATTTTGATAAAAAAAAATATAATTCATTTATTTATATTGTGACAAAGAAATTGACCTTAAAATACATATTTTATATTTTATATCTATATTGTATTTTTATCAATAATAAAAAAAATATCCAAATAATATATTTAGGGTGTTCCGTATAAAGTATGTCCGTGCACAAAAAAATTATAACTCTGCGTTATTGTTTGGTCATATCGTGATCCATCAGCTGTCAAATGATTTAGGTGAATCTCTGGTTTTTCACACCTGTAAGCAAGTTCTATGTAGGTACTGATAGAATGAATCGAAAGGACAACTGTTAGCAAATACTATAGATTAGAATACGGGAAGCTCATAAATTTTCTAGGGGACACTGTAGCGCTACATATTATAGTAGGTTACCTTTTCAATCTCCTTATTTAGTTTTATGTATTATGTATTTTGATTGTAGTAATAAGATAATTCATTATAATGAGTGATAAGTGATAACTAATACAAATTTTAATTTTAATTCAAAATTTAAATATTTATGCAACAAATTACAATAGTATATCAAATGTACCACTCATGTAAGTGAATATTGCTGTTTTGTTCAACATTACCTAGTCAACAACGACACATAGTTAACCTACAGTATGTAAGTAGTTTTACTTATGTTTTAAATAGTTGTCGACTTACAGTTTGAAAAAAATATGATTTTATTTTGTTCAAACAATTTATTTATCAAAAGTATAATTTAGTCAGAATAAATATTTATTTTTTGAATGCATTAATTTGTCTTTAAGGCTATAACAAAACAAACCGCTATTATTGAAAAATTAATATTGTAATATATAGGTACCTAATTAATTTTTTAAAAATTGTATTAAAATAAATGAATATTACTGAATGATTGTATAATATGATTAATATTGAAGTATAATAAGATTAGGCCTTAGATTAGGTACTTGCATAAGAAAATAAATACATTGTATAAATAAACAACAAAATAATTATAAATATAAATAAATAACAAAATTACAAACATAAATAAATAATATTATAATATACCTATCTAATAACTTTGTATTAATATTATTATTATTAAGTAAGATTTTTAAAAGAAATAGTATAAAATATGTAATGTTGATAATTATTTCATCATAATACCTAGTATCTATGTTGTATATACTGTATATTGTATACAATTTAGATTTTCATAATAAAAATAAATAAGGTAAATTACAATATTAAGTAAATAAAATAAATTCTTAATTCATAGTTATTTCTATACATGGGTTATTTTCTTAAGTTTATTATTTTTGGAATTAATTTTGTAAACTTCTAAGTTATTGTTAAAATTTTTTATATAACTATTTATTAATACATTCAAAAGTTTTGTTAAAAATTCTACTTTATAGTTATCACATATACCCAAGGGCTTTTTACAAGCTAAATCAATGATCTTTATAATTTCTTTTCGTATGCCAAATTTATTTTGTAATAGAAGTCGTTCTATATTTAAATTAAATATACAGGTTACCTTTTTTGAATATTCCAGTGTATTTTTATAAGGAAATAATAATTTTGCATTTTCATATGTATATTGTCCAGGCTGAATTCAGTTGACAGTTTGTCTGTCTGTTCTTGTAGCTGCCAGATTCTGGATACATTCAGAATGAGTTAGCTTACTACAAACCCATCCAGTTACATATCCAATGGTACAAGCCTGATGATCCTCCATCAATATATTTTGGATATTTATTGATGATAAATCTAAGTCTGACAGATCTTGTGTGGTACACAATTTATGTTTATCAATTTCATTTTTATTTTAATATTTTTCAGGTCACTGCACTGCATCAATTTCACAATTGCCACTTTCTGGCGGCGTCAATAAATTATTGCACATACACATACAAATAGCAGAATGAAATGTTGTCATCCAGTGTGATATTATTACCTCCTTTACTTCTTACAATAGAAAACACATTTTAAATGCAGTCTTGGGTAAGCCGTCTTGTCATTAAAAATTCTATGCCATATTTTTCATTTAACTCATTGTATACCTGTTTTAATGCGTTAATATTCTCTATCCAACCTTTAATACACGGTGGCAGTTTACCCGTTCTATTTTTTACCTTCAAATTATTTTAAAATTGTTCAGCTTCATCCAAAATCTTCCAATGACAAGAATTTTTAGTAAGCGGTTTTCTTAAGTTTTTAGGGTCTTTGTATGTGATTCTATTAAAAACATCAAATAGGTTATCAAAAAATTTTACAAATTTTGCTGTATGTATTGCAGAAGTTTTCATTTGGTTTAAGGAAATTAATGTCATCATGCCAGAACTCACAAAATGGCTAAGTGTTTGTGTGACCAAACAAACACGCATTGGTGAGAATGGTGGTAAGTTCATATGAATTTTATTCAATTTCGGGGCTAATCTTGGTTTTTGGTTTTTATCCAAATTGTAGAAATCTATTAAATCAGTCCAAGTATACAAATCATTTTCATGACTGAAATCATATTTTTTTTAATTATTTCTCACAGACTTCATTAAGTGAGGACTATCATGAAAAAAAAATATATTTTCACCGTTGTAATTAATGAATGGCTGAGTATCTGTAACATTTAATTTATTTCTCATACCTATGTTGTTTGTACCTTGGTTGCAGATGATTACTTTGGGAATGAAACCAGCATCTCTAACTTTATCAATCGTGTGTATTAAAATGTCTTTAAGTTTGCTACTAGAAATTGGTCCTTTAGAAAAGAAATATCCAACAATTTGTTTCCAGGGCCTTGTTAAACTTTTTATCATTATAACTAGTGCTTGCTCACAGCATTGATTGGATTTTATGTCAAACAAACCATCATTACCAAAATCTTCAAATCCACTAAACTGGTCATTCTGTGAGTTATAAGAAATTAGTTTTTTTAATGACATTTCATCCATTATTATTGACACAAGCTTATTTTCTGTAGGAGCATCTAAAAACTTGGTTTTCAAAACCTCCAGGGCATTTAAATTTATTCCACAATAAACTTTCAAGGACTGAAGCCAATTTCGTATGGATTTCACTGTAGGAAGACACAAGTACTTGCGCATAAAGTGAATTATAATACAAACTGAGTGCAAATGATTTTTGATTTTTCTAATATCTGCGACCATATTTGTTTATGTTGGATAATTTTAACTGGTTTTTTAAAATAAAATTATTGGTCAATGTACTTTGAAATAAATTCTTATTCATTTATAATTTGTTAAGATTCTTTTTTTTAACGTCTGTATCCTAGTGTTCTTTTTATTTATTAACTTTTGCATTATTCTAATTTTTAATCTTAATCTCTTATTTTCCTGGTCACATAACTGAGGATTATGATGGACACGTAAGCAATAATCTAAACATTGTCAAATAAAATATTCTGTTTGTATGCTAGTCATTATTGAAAAGACGAATATGTGTATAAAAGAATGGACGCTCTTAAAATAATGAGAACTATTTACCTATAGATTCTTACTCTTTCTTTACTTAGTAACAAAGTATCTTCTTAATTAATAATAACAATATTAGTATGGGGATAAAATTATGTTGAGTAAAAAACACATACAAATACACATACAAAATAAAATAATCAAGTTAATTATTTTTAATTAATAAAGAATCGTTGTTACTTACCTAAATTACTAATTTAATGAATATCAATTTATACAAATAAATAGTACTTTAGAAACAATGTAGGCATTTTGTCAGTGTTATATGAAACGAGAAATAAATAGATGTAAAAAATAAAACAAAATATAATAATTAATAAAGCTTAAACAATTCACTAGAAAACGAGTAGTAAAAATTTTAATTTTTCCAGCAAGTTATATAAAGCGTAATGCACGGCGTGAAGTTACTCATCATTAATTTCAGGAAGAGGAAACATGCTTGTGGAGTCTTTGGTGGGCAAGTGGATAGGTAACTGTGCAAACTAAGCAAAATGGTAGTTTAGGGTTATAGTAGTAATAAGCTAGATCTAGAAGTTATCATTCTAATAAAAGCACTAATGCCCGTATGCATAGTCCTGTTGTTATGTGTCACATATAGTTGCTTAAGTGACCTTTAGCTAAGTGGCCCATAACATTTTTATGTAACCCATAACTATTATTATGTCCCACATAAGTTGTGTCTTGCATAGACAATATTTATGTATTCAATAGCTATGTAAAAGTTTATGTTATAATTGCCATTGTTATCAGGGTTACTATGTTCACATTAGTGAAAATTGATAAGATAACGAATAATAGTATTACTATTATTCGTAATTCAAATTTGTATAATTCTGAATTCATTTTGTTTTCTTATTTAATAAAAATATTTTATATAATGACGAGCAATTCAGAAAAAAATAAACGAGCCCGTGCTCCTAATATTTCTGAAGAGGAAAAATCAATAATATTACACTGCATATCAAAAGAAAGGGACATAATTGAATGCAAAAAAACAGATAAGTTTAGCAACAGGGACAAAAACTCAGCTTGGGAAAGAATTGCTGTTAATTTCAACACTCATTTAGGTGCAAACAAAGTAAGTACCTATATGAATTATACTATATAGGTAATCTTAATTTTAAACTTATGTTATATAGTACAGCACAAGCTACAATTATTGAAACTATTGTGTTTGGTGAATTAGCTAAACCTCTCCTTAGACATGGAAATTTTCTTTTCCATACACCAAATACACGCTCTACGATATTTCTGGTTTTGATATGAGCTTTATTATAATTTTTCTCTGCATTTGTTACTGGATTAAGTAAAGGTGTAAATATGTAAGGTTTGCATGCATATCCTAAACAAATTTATTAATTATTTAATGTGCTTACTACATAACTAATTTTAAAAAAATACAGTATATTATCATCATTACCATTGTCTCCCAGAAGTATAAGATTATGATTATTGTTAGAATATACAGCACATGCATGACTGGCATTGAAGATAAAGCTATCATGGTAACTACCTGGCCATCTAACCACCAAATCATGTATTTCCATCAATGGACTACAAACTAACTATAATATTTTTGGATTGAATAAATAAATATAATATTATTATTATATTGTTTAGGTATCTACTTGAACATTCAAAGAAAATCATCCTTTACGATTCCTGAATACTTCTCCATTTATACCACCTGGATTTTGTATTCTTATATGCGTACAATCAATACATCCTCCTACACCTGGCATTCCAGCTATTTCGTAAAACTGTTGTCTAATGACTGACCATTCAGCTTCAGTTTGAGGAAACTTTACATGGTCCCTAAAACGACTAGCAATCTCATGGGAAACTCTTTTAATAATTCTAGACACAGTACTCTGGTCAATGCCTCTCAAGTCTCCACAGACAGTCTATAAATTAAAAGTAACATGTCTTAAATAATTTTTACAAATTAAAATTAGGTGGTATTTCACTTGAAAGTTTGCTGTTGCATAAAATCGTAATGTTGTCAATAACTGTAGAATGGGAGGTATAGGCAATCCTCGATTATTGGCATAGTTAATACCTAATAAATTTAATAACTGATCCATGACAATTAGTTTTGGAAATCGATAACGTTTGAAAAATGTGTTGTCATTATATTTTTCAAACGGATCTTCAATATTACGAATATACCTTCTTGGAATTCGTTCAACATCAAATTCATCGAAATATTCATCAACCATTTCTACATAATTCACAAAGTTATAAAAATCGTCCATACTACTATATTTTTAAACAACTTTTTAAAATTTATATTTTGAGCATGAAAAATATTGATAGCACGTAAAAATAACAAATTTATGTATCACTTAAGACTTAGGTGGCGGAATTTTAGCGCATAACTTTATGTGTTTGTTTATGGCCTATGTAATACATAAATATCACTGTGCAAGAGAAAATTGTTAAAAGAAATTATGTGTCACATAACTATGTCTTATGTGACACATAAAATGACTATGCATATGGGCATAAGCTTCATATAATTAAACTTAAAAGTATTTAATAGTAGATGTTTTACTTGTTTCGTCCTTAACATTTGAAGGTTCAACTAATTCACTATATGGTGTATTCTCATCATCTAAATTGGACACTAAAATGTAAAATAACAAATTAGTTAAAATAGTAATATTTTTAAATATTCAATTAGAGTCTAGAGTTAATTAAATTTACCGCCAAGATTGTCATCATTGATTATATTATTTTCAGAGTCAATTGTTGAACTAATTAAAGACTTGGATATGAAACTACAGGAAGTATCTTCAAGTTGCTGTGAACTTTTATCTGAAGTTAAAGATTAAAAAATAATTATTATTAGTTGTTAATTTAAAATGTTTTAAACAGTTATAAACAGTTTTTAAGTAATCACCAAAATTGCAATAAATGTTGCATAACATTTTATTAAATTTTGGACTTAATACTTTCGGTTGATGATTGAATGGTCTACCATCAACTAAAAAGAAGATTGTTTTGATGATTTGGTAATAATATATTTTTAAGGACATTAAAGAACTCTTGTTTATTACGATTTGTGTTATTCAGAATTTTCTTTAATAACAGACTCAAAACATTTGGAAGCCAAATTAATGTTATATCCTGCTTATCCAACACAGTCTCCTTACAATAAATAGAATTAGGTAGATTTAATGATGGAATCGCACCTTTATACAATAACCTGCATAATTAATAATTATTGATTTGAATCTTGTTAATAATTGTCTAATAAGGACATAAAATACAATTATCTTAAAATAACTAGGTATAATATAGAGACATTCTATTTCCAACATCGTTCCAAATTGAATAGTCTTCATTTTTAAAATGTGTTGAACATATCACTTTGTATTTTACTGAGTCCAGTCCCTTTTGTTCAAAACTATTTATAATTATATTATTTTGTATAAGTTTCACCCATTGACTACATCTATAACAATAATTTTATAGGAATTAGGATTGTAGTTTAATTAAAATTTAAAAATAAGTTTAGTTTAAATCTTTAAAAATTACATGCTTTGATCACTTAGAAATCTATGGAATGAAATTCCAAGATTTTCTTTTCCTGTATTATTACAAGAAAGCACAGCACAAAGTTTTCTACCCATGATAAACAAATTAATAAAATTATAAAAAGAACAATTTAAAATTACACAACAACTGTCGTCTGTTACATCAATAATAATTATTAGAGTAATTTCGCAAAGGTATAGAAAAATAATAAATTATTAAAATACTGATATCATTGATAATTGATATAATATTATGTTGTTTAATAATTATTGTTTTGGTATTTTGCATATAACAAAATATTTACCAATATAGGTACGTATATAAATTGTAATAGTGATCTACTAATACCTAATTTATATTTTTGACTTATAGCGCCAAATTATTTGTATCAGTTACCGAGTACTTAAAAGTGATAAGGAGAAAGGGGCTGAATAGGCAATCATATACATTGTGGAGCGCTTTGACGCCAGCTGCACGTTTCTACAGAGCTTCCCGTATTCTAATCTATAGTATTTGCTGTTAGTTTAGTGGCACCTGGCATGTTGGCAATGTTTTTGACGAGCTTAGTAGTTATCTTTTTCACTCGTAACCGTAATAGCATATTAAACATTCGTGAAAAAATGTAAGCAGACTTGACTTACAACTACGTCAGTACGTCACTAACATAGAATACCTAGTTACGATTTAATAAACGAGTACAACTGCTAAGCGAAATCAACACAATGTTTTTTTTTTAATTACGAATAATTGAGGATATATGTTTTCAAACAAAATAATACATAGGTAGGTAGGTGACTGAAGCGTGTGCCTTCTAATATATCACTATTCATTCGGAGTCTTTGGAGTGCGAGCTGACATTTAAGATAGGTAAGAACAAATTTAAGCATTCGGTTACAACCAAATAGTTGCAATCATAATAGTTTAATACGATGATCCACATTATGTATTTTACTTAATACACGAGTTATCGTCCAATCAAAATTTGTGGTGGCAAATTATTAAATTCGCTATTAATTCATACATTGATATTGGTTACTAATGAGTATAATGAATGAACCAAACATTGAACAACTTAAATGTATATAGTGTCTATATATAGTATGTATAAATGTTTACTTTACAGACCATTAAAACCACAAGTAAAAAGGAAATTTATCAAACCGAATACCACGCATGCATAAATCAGCGGCAACTGGTATTGGTAGAAATATGAATTAAAACCGCAACAACAAACACTAAAGATGGCATCATTATTTAAATGGTACAACTTTTGCAGCCAGACATATCCAATACGGACCAATCTTGTTCAAACAGGTGTGTAAACGGCAAACGGTATAGTTTATTAAAATATAGGGTGTCTCAAAAACAACCTAACCAATCCAGCCAAACCTACTCACCTTGATCTTATAACTTGACACTGTTTGATTTTTTCTTATGGGCATACATTAAGAGGACGCAACACAACTATTAATTGTTGTCTCCGTCCTCCAAGTTCGTAACATAGAAAATTTAAGCTTGCAGATCAGGTTTGGTTCCATTAATTTAAAAATTAGAGTGAATCGACCTATTATAAAACTTGATGGCAAGAACAGTATAATATGTGTTAAGTCATATAGGTTTTTTGCGATAGTTCAATTTTTCAACAAGTTATGAGTACATAATATAATGTAAATTAATATGCGCATGCACGTGCATCACTTAAAAGTTGAATTATCGTATAAATCCCACATTCAGGCACAGATAATATTCTTACCATCATGTTTCATAATAGATCGATTATTCACCCTAATTGTTAAACTACCTTTTTCATATTTTAGGTATTATGTTTGGTATTGGTGATTTAATTGCTCAAAGCGCAGTTGAAAAGCGTGAACTTGATAAAATCGACTGGTTACGTACAGTGCGCTATGCATCGATTGGGTGTGCGATTGGGCCGTCACTTACATTGTGGTATAAGACGATGAATAGATTGGGAACTCAAAACACAATACCAATAGTAACTAAAAAAATATTAGTTGACCAATTGATTGCATCGCCAATTATTACTGGATCCATAATGATTATGAGTAGAGTGTTTAGTGGCGATGAATGGCCACAAATACAAAAGAAACTAGAAAATAACTATGCGGACGTTTTGCTCACTAGTTATACGGTAAATACATTCCATACAACTTTTTATTAAATATATTTTACCTATATCTAATATTATATTAGCCTACAATATTTTTTTTTATAGATCTGGCCAGCTGTACAGGCATTGAACTTCACCATTATTCCACAACAATACAGGGTCTTAACTGTTCAAATAGTGTCAATATTTTGGAATACGTACCTTTCATCAATGAGTGTTGGTGGTGGAAAATCACAAGAATCGTAGTATTTAAAATGCACTATGGAATTTATAATTATATTTAAGAGTTGATAAAATTATATCAAACTATAAGTAATACTCAATAAATGTTTAAGAACATAATTCATAACATACTGAGCGAAGAGATGAAGGGGTTGATTTTACAACGATGTGTTTATTCATCGCTGAAGCTCATGTTTATGACTTGACATATTTTTTTCACACAACCAAAATTAAACCTGAGTGTCATATAAATTTGATTCATGAAATCAATAAAACAAATATATAAACCTATTTTGCATATTTTTGAATATTTGACATTTTTGAGCAAATAAATGTATATTCTACTGATTTTTTCTAGATGAAGTAGCATGTACCTATATTATATAAACTATAAGTATACTATTAAAAATTGTCTTTATAATTTTAATTATCATTGTTAGTTGAATTTATAGGTAAGGCAAACGCAGGCTATTAGCTATTAGGAGATTAGATATTTATTAAAAAGTGGCGAGATAGGTTTTTTTTGTATATGTTACCGGCAATATGTGAAATTCAGTCATTACATATAATGCCTAGGTAGTTTAAAAAATACCGGTTGATTTTAGGCAAATTATTTAAAAAAATAATTTTAGTATGAAGTGCCCAGGCATTAAATATATTTCCTAGAGTACCTAAACAAATTTAGGCTAAGTATTAAAATAGTTGTGATTAATTTTATGATATTATACTATATTAACATTATAACATTTTAAATTATATAATATGTACTATTTGTTACAACATGTTAAGCTAGAATGACAACGGGAGTTACACAATATTTTGTTTTTAACACACTAACGCAAAAAAAATTATGCCAATATATTTTTAATATTTTTGAATTTCAGTAATAAAAAGCGGGTAAGTGGGTACCGGTCTGCTTTATATTAGGTGTCGTATGGATCACTATTATATATTATGGGAGTGTTAAATTTGAATGCAATGATATAAGGTATCATTTATTTTTGAATTAGAACTAAGATGTATCTTAGTCCGTGACTATAATATTGTACACATGTGATAGAGATAATAAAATTTATTTATTTTTTATTATTATTTTAATCTGTGATAAATGATTTATTAATGAAAATGCCAATATTAATAACTGGTGAAGTTTTCAAGTATCTACGACTTGTACTTTTTTAATATTAATAAATATTTAAAATCGTTTGAGGATAAATCGTAAAAAACTAACGATGTTTGTATTAAATTTTTAATCTAAAATTAATTAACACTTATTTACCGACCTTTTTTGCAACCAAAAATCACGAGGATTTTTTTTCGTTTTTAGACATCTCAGCATTAGGACTTGCTTTACCAACTCGTCATATCGTTCATCTGTTAATAAGGTGTTATTTTTACCTAGATTTGCCTTTATTACATTTAATTCTGAATAAAACCGTTTCATTATGAACTAATATTATAGTTAGCAAGTGAAGTGAACACTTTACACGTATACGTATTGTTAACCGTACTGAAAATAATTAGGACAAAACTACACAAGATTAAATATTGAATAACGCTATCAAGAAATGAAACGTATTACAGGCTATAGAAATATTACAGTAATAATTGGGAAAATATAAAATCGATTATCTTCGTCAATATCTGTGGGTATTCCTAATTTAAGCGAGAGCATAATATTATTACCTAATTTTGATTAGGCATTATACATAACGACTAGGGGATATGTGTATTATATAATTCGCCTGGTCATTTCAGTAATTTTATTAAATTTTATAAACTACCTAGGCATTATAATGTAATGACTGAATTTCACATATTGCCGGTAACATATATATTTATTATTACAATACAACATTTACGAATTACCATTTATTAATTATTTTCGAAAAATTCGATTTTGGTTTTTAGTGTAACTCTTAAATAAAATACAGATACGTGAAATTTCCACTGAATGTTTAAGTTAGAATTTTCTCTACTCCACACAATTTTCAAAATATTTTGACTCGTGTTGAACTATTAATAGGCATATGCAATTTTCGATTATTATTTGTTTTTTTAAACTAATGACGTTAAACATTTTTTCGCTCTGTCAAAAAACTTGTTAATGTAATATAAGGTTCCTCGTAAGTTGTTGTTAATAGAAATTTTAAAAAAGTTGAGCTTAAATCTACAGTAATTTTTTGAGCGTTAAAACTTAGAATTTTGATATAATTCGTAAAAATCACGAAAATGAGCAAATTATTTTGAGTTAGAAAATCATAAAAAATTTTCTTTTTATATCAATGATTTCAAAAGTTCTCATAAGTTTGTCAACTTTTATAAAAAAAAAAAATGTCTACCGCGAAATCAACTTACGTTTTTATGAAAGTTTAAAGTTGTATTACAACATTTGATTTCTCATTTAACGATTTTTTGTAATTGAAAACGAATAACCGTAGATATTTGAAATATACACAAAATGTTTGTTCTATCATTTCTTATATTTGAAAAATGCTTTAAAATATTTTTACAAGTTATGAGCTGTTTATGACATTTTAAATTTTAAATTATTCTAGTTTTTTTCTCTATATATGTCAATGAAATTTTGTTCTTTGGGTCGAAAAGCTTAAGAATTTATACAAGGGTCCTGATATACTTTTACAACAGAAGTTGAAAAATATTAAAAATACATAGCCAAACTTTTGTTTTATACATATTAAAAGTTGAAATTTTGACAACATTTGTTAAATTTAAAATCTACAAATTATTTTGTAGTTAAAAAATTTTAACTTTTAAAGCTACTGTTTGAAAATTTAATAAAAAATTCCATAGTAAGAAGATAATTCTGTAGAAAAAAAAATAAGAATATAATATTAGTACAGTTTTTTTTATGCTTATTTTAAGTTCAAATTTGAACCTTATTACATATTTAAACCAAGAATAACAATTTTAGTTATTTTGTTGTAATTTAAAAATATTATTTGTGGGTTCTTGACACTGTTAGAGTACATTATTAAATTTTTTACACACAATGACTTTTCAAATGAAATTTTTTGACAAAAATGATTTTAGCCTTTTTTAGTGCTAATGCCTACTAGTAAAATAATATTATCATATATACTAAGGAATATATTATAAGCTGACAGACCGTCTTCACTCAGAACCATTTTATGCATACAATGATTTAATATCATTGAATCCAAATGTAATACCAATAGTCCAGTGAACCACTTGTAACCTATTGTAGAGCGACATCCACTGTTAGTTTGTGTATTATTATAAATTATGTTTAATTTAATCTATAATACAATTAATATCAACATACTATCTACCTAATATTATATAAAATATTTTAATTTAATTAATTTAATTTACAATGATACACTGTTAAACCTACCTACTACCTAGTACACACATAATATTCGTAAAAATATAACAGAACTTTAGACTGTTCAACAATTAATATACAAAAAAATTGTCACTAAGAACAATGATAAACATAAACATTGTTGAAATTCATGCTGTTTTCAGATAAAGTCCAATAATATTTTGATATGATTGTATGCATTTAGTTTATTACACTTTTATCTAAAATTTGATTTAAAGATTTTTTTGGTTTGTCTTTTTGTATTTTAATAATTTTGATTGTTACCAGCTTAATACATAATGCTTACATTAGCTGTAATACTATTAACAGTGAAGTATTTCTTAGAGCTATGTAACTATAAATATGTATCTTGTTATTTGTTAAATGAAAATAGCATGATTCATATTTTCTAATTACAAACTTAATTCTGGTTTCTCCTTGAATAGTCCAAGTCTCCTGGAATTTACATAGTTATTGTATCATATTTCTGTAAAAACATTTTATAGCTTCAGTGTCTACAGACGTGTATACAATCAATATATTCATTATTCTGGAGCTCGAAAAGTAAACATCAAGATAGTAAGTAGTGACTACTGTAAATAGGCTATTGGTAATATGGTATATTATAAATGTATCACAATATAGTATTACTCTTACTTGAGCTCAACGATGTGATTTAAAGTTACAAAAACTATTCATTACATTTAAGTTGTGAAAGTTAATACATTTATAAAAATATCTCATTCATCCTAAATCACGGGCGCGTTTCCCAAGTATTTGTATTTCTGTTGAACGCATAACAGCTGTCACTACATGACTGTAGACAAGAATAAAATATATTCGGATGGTATAGATATTCATATAGATTAAACGTATAAGTGATAGTGTAAGAGAAGCGTATGAATCTGACGGTGGTAATGGTGGTATTATACATATATAATAAAATCTTACGTTTTATTTGAATTGGCCTTCGAGTGGACGAATATTCCCAAATCCTGATTCCATAGTTGATAAAAAAAGTTAGGAAAGCTCACACTTCGAGCTAATATCCGATTTCTAAACAATAGAACGCAATTAATTATAATGACTTACTTAAACAATTTATGCACTATGGCCAATTAATACCTACGTACCTTAATATCAACAATCGTAACACTATGTTCTGCCGTGCTGGTAACTAGCAGACGGGCTGACGGACGGAAACAAATGTATGTTTGGAAAACTAAAATGAACTATCATTACGACACCTTGCAAAGCAATTTATTAAAAAGGTCTGAAACATCCGAAAATATTGAATACAATAATACATTATTATTATTATTATTATAATAATTTATATGATATTGACTATCACATATTTTCAGAAATAATCAATATCGTAGTGAATCATGATAAGGTTATCTTCCATGATTACAATCATAGACATAATAAGATATGGACCATAGAGTAATATAGAGGGGCCGTTCCATCCGTATATTGAAGCAAAAGTGGATTCTATTTTACAGGTCAATTAGTTCACAAAAAAAAAATTATTGTAAAATATTTGGTACGATTGTCATAGTGACCCATACTTAGATATGTTATCAGTGATAATATAATTTCCATATTCTTTTATCATGATAATTTCATTATATATTTTTTTTTAATTTTAATTTTGAATTTATTGTTGAGACGTGAGTACCTACTGCCTACAAAAGTACAGATACATTGTTTCATGTTTGCAATTTTAAGTTTAGTACAGTTCTAGTGAATTCTTGGGTTTTTTTTCTATTATATTATTATAATATACTAAACATGCCAAGCTGTATAACTTGTGGAAGATCAGTTAGTAAAAGTTCAAAATCAGCAAATATAACTTTTCATAAGTACGATTTAGAAAATTAATCTTGAATTTAAAAATGTATTTGTAAAGTGATACTATGTAAATAAATATTTGTTTAATTATAGGTTTCCATCTAAAGAAAGTGTTCGAGAAAAATGGAATAACTTCTTATTAGAAAATGCTGTGAGTCCTGAAAATGTGCTTAAGACTAGTGTAATTTGTTCCCTCCATTTTGAACAGTCGTGTTTTGTGTTGGACAAAAGCAGAAAACTGTTAAATAAGCATAGTTATCCATCTATAATTTTAAATCGTATAAAAGGCGTAAGTAAATCGTTTGGAGTAATATACTTACTTGACTAAAATTATTAAAATTTCAATAACGAAAATATTTTATTTCAATTAACGTATATTGTTATAGGCCAAAAAAATGTGTGATGAAACTGTAACAAAATATCCTATGACTTATGAAGCAAAACCAAATAGTTCTTCAAACATTTTAAAATTAGTTAAAGTTAGTACCTATGTATTCATACATTAAGGATAAATATAATATACTAAAAATTAATAATAGTATTTAAAATTAAATTAATTACCAACCTACAATATTTTTAGAAAAAAGTATATTTATATTATTTAAAAAGATTTTGTATGTATTTTTCAGTTGTCTTGTAGCAGTAATGCAATAGAA